CCGGATCCGATCTGGACCCGTTCATTTAGTGGGTCTATACCTTATTTAAAATGGGTAATCTGGCCAAAACTAGCTATGGAAATACCTAAAATAGAGCCAACAAACATTATATAGACTAGACTGCTCTATAAAAGTGTAATATGTCTCCCTTTATTAATATTAATAAACCATAAAATCATTCAAAACTTTCCTTGGCCAGTAATAATGAAACACTCTATAAAAAGTAGGTAATTACATGAAGAAAAATAAAAAATAAAATGCAACCACAAATTGTACAAAAACAGTTTTATTTAATGAAAATCTTTACCTCTAAAAACACAATTCAGTTCAATAACTTTGTAAAATTAATATTTACGAATGAATTAGTTCAATTCAGCCATAAGGAATTGTATAGCACACAAAAGTTTCATTATTCACTTTGTGTCAGCTTGATGTTGATTTAATAAAATTCAATATCAGTGAAAATGTTGCAAAATTAATGCATTATGAAACAAAGTCTTGGCGATAAAGCAGCTCTGGAGAAAACAGTGATATCATAATCCAGCTCAATTCAGTTCATGTCTTGTCATTATGCAATAGTGTCAGTACAATCAAATCAATATTATTCTTGAATATTCAGTGTCTTTTAAACCCCAGCTAAGCAAGCCAGAGGTGACAGTGGAACCCAAACTCCAGCAGGTGATTGAAACGAAGAAAAATGGAGATTGTGGACTGATGTCATTCAGAATACTTCATCCAGCTCCTACTGCTTGAAGATCAGGATACGTCACGCTGTCATTTGATCAGAGGAGAAATTGTAGTCTGACCAGCAGGGCTGTCGCTAAGCCAGTAGTGGACGACTGGATTAACAGTGACTATAAGCAGGATAAAACTGCATTGTGGTCCTAGCAGCTCCTGGCCTGACACGTTCATTGCTGGCCATAGGGATCTGTGCTGAGGACTTGTCTGTTTCTCGTGGTCTTTGCTGAGGATCTGTGCTGATGTTAGTCCAGTTGTGATGTTCACTTGTTGTGGTCTTCGCTGACATTCAGGGCTGCGTTGTGGTCATGTCAGGGTGCAGGTCCATCATCTGATCTGGATACGGGCCGGATCCCGCTGACTATGATAACCTTAGAACAAGAGTGCGACAAAAACATTGAAATAAGCAGCTCCTGGCCTGACACGTTCATTGCTGGCCATAGGGATCTGTGCAGAGGACTTGTCTGTTTCTCGTGGTCTTTGCTGAGGATCTGTGCTGATGTCAGTCCAGTCGTGATGTTCAATTGTTGTGGTCTTCACTGACATTCAGGGCTGCGTTGTGGTCGTTTCAGGGTGCAGGTCCATCATCTGATCTGGATACGGACCGGATCCGGCTGACTATGATAACCTTAGGACAAGAGTACGACAAAAACATTGAAATAAGTAACAAGTATCTGTGTTGACTTTTTCTCACAGCACCTGTAATCACACAAGCACATTTTCATACAAAATTTCATGACATCTCATAGCAAAGATTACTGTTAAATGTAGGACGTAAAAGTAGGTTAAACTCTATTTAATCTTACTTTTAAAGATGAAGTAGAATATCGAAGAATGATGTAGATTCAAAAACCAGACTGGAGCACTTGAATGAGCTGTGAAGCTGTTCTTCACATAAGCTATACCACAGCCAAAGATTACTGTTAAATGTAGGATGTAAAAGTAGGTTTGTAAAAATTTAACCTTAAATATTGATATGAATATTTTGACATAGCACATTTAGGATTACACGTTAAAAGCTGAAGTGTGGATCATTGTCAGTATTTGACAAACTAGTTTGCTAAATCAAATGTAAGACTCTATCTTACTTTTAAAGATGAAGTAGGATATCGAAGGTTGATGTAGAATCAAAAGCCAGACTGGAGCACTTGAATGAGCTGTGAAGCTGCAACAGAACACACACACACACACACACACACACACACACACAGAGTATCTTAGTATTTTTTCATTTCATATAAATTATCTGAAACAACATTGCAAGAGGTGAGGAATGTATTTGTCAAAATATAAACAAAAATAGACTTGAGCTAATATTCCAGAACCAAAATTAAATGAAAAATATAGCATAATATCGCCTGCAGTTATTCCTGAAGAGGGGTGAAAAATTAACTAACGTTACATATACGCTCAGGACTACCACGTCTCACAAAAAAGAAGGAGATCCCGTCTAAATAGGCCTGATATTACTCAAATCTACGATAATGCTAATGCGCTGAAGAGCTAACCTTCCACAACGCAATTTCTCAATTAAAAATGCCAACAAAGCAATTAACTACTTTATTAACCGTAATGTTACTGGCAACTGTACATATAAAGCATATTTAAACAGTATTCTTGCCGTGTTCAGTCCTCTTCAAACTGGCCGGCCGCAGCTTCAGCACTCTGAGGAGGATTTGATTTCAGAGACACGACTGTTAGAAGAAAGCGAATCCGCCCAGCCTCCGTAATGATTCCGCTAGTTTATTTCATATGTACTAAAACAACATTACGAGGAGAGGTGGGGAATATATTTGTCGAAATATAAATAAAAATAGACTTGAACTAATATTCTAGAACCAAATTTAAATAAAAAAAAAGAGTTTATTCTCGCCTGCAGTTATTCCTGAAGAGGGGTGAAAAATTACCTAACGTTACATATAAATTACGATTAAAATCCGGATAGCCAACTAAACTAATTTACCCGTCTCACAGAAAGGAGGGAGATCCCATCCAAATAGGCCTATTATTAAC